GGGGGATTGGGCACATAAGGGGGGGGGGGACACATCTAGAGTATGTGTGTGTGTGTGTGTGTGTGTGGGTGGGTGTTTGTCTGTGTGTTTTATCTGATTCGGATGGTTACTAATCAGTCATTTTTGACCGGGAACACCATGGGTGTTACAAAGTTGACTAAATCATCCAAAATTCAATGAAAGTGGTGATCAGCAATTGTATGTTCAAATGTCTACTGTGAAGGACATCATAAAACCTTAATACAATTGAATGTAAAAAAAAAAGTTATGATTGATGAAAGTAGTAAATTGGTCAGATTTGACCCAAAGACAACAGGAGGGTTAAAGTTTATGATCTTAGCTGTACTATTTTTCATTACATCATGATGTTCCTTATGTCCCAAATGGTCCAATTTAGAAAAAAATAGAGGATAAATCAGGGAATGCTTTATGGCGGTGGATAGCGTGTGTCTGACTTCTTGCTACCAAGACACATGTGTTGTTAAATATTCTAAGTGAACACATTTTGATTTAAATTAGACAATTATCTGTTTACTGTTGCATCTGAAATAGAACATAGCCATCATCTATTCAATGTGTGCTTTTCTTACTAAGACAAGTTAAAATGCCTGTTAAAGAGGCTTCTATACAAGAAATTTACTTTTTTATCAACTTCTTGTTTTAATGATTCAAAGTGCTAAAATGGACTTGGCCTTTAGGGACTCAAAACATACATTGCACATGATCTTCATGATTTAAAATCAAACCTGAGAAACTGGGACTACTAAACTTGGACTCGAGCCATGGCACGTCGCCAGCATACATTTTCATCTAAATGTTAATGTGCTGCGGCAATCAAAATGAATCACTTGCCAATCACTGTTTTAAGCTGCTGAGTTATATTGCTTGGTGAAAGAATTACATTTAATTAACAGTTCACCAAATTAAAATGTGTTTGACACTTGCGCTGAACTATTAGCTGTTGAACAATCACTTGTCCGTGGGATTAATTAAGTGCGAAGGTGTTAAATAGAGTTTATAAAATACTTTAACTAAATGCATGGTTGGTTTCAGACATTCAGCAAGGAGTGTAGAGAGAAAGCTTCCTTTTTTTTAGGTTTCAGACCTCTACAAATCTGGACTAAGCGTTTTATAAAAGTAACATTTCAGTAAAATTAATGTGTTTGAGAAGTAGTGAGCATAAGATAAATAAAACTATTATATTGCACAACTGGTGTGACAGTTTTTTTAACAGATGTTTTGCTTTAGTCAGACGCAGCCCCAATTCACTTAAATCCATCAAGCCTTTACTTTGTTTTTGGATTCATCCTCCTCATGCCTGAGAAAACAAAGGTTTCCTCTATAATTCAAGGTAACTTGGGAATTCAACCGAAGTACCTTTATTACAGAGCTTCTGTAAAAGCCAGGCGGAAAATATTAAATAATGCAGGACCGTCATTTTGTCAATCTATTTTTTTTAAATAACATTTTATAATGCATATTCTTAAAAGTCATATCAACTATACACACAACCAATTGACATACATTAAACCTGGGGGTTTTGGGGCTCTGAAGTTAGTCTGAATACATCTCTGGTTTATGGTTTAAGTGTCATGGAAATTATATGAAGAAACAATAAATTGGGCACAGTTTTATTGGGAATATAATTAGAATTTGACCCATATTTGCAACTTTTGGCATGGAGCCCTTGCAAGTGTCACAGCTGAGGTTTTCCTGGCCTGAATCCCACTTTGGATACACTGGTTTGTTAACAGGTGTTTCCAGGCTGTCTGACAGTCATCCCCCTGTCCTGTTAATGCCACAGCAACATCCCTCCAAGAAAGTTACCACGGGTGGGACCAAGAGAGGCAGATACGCGTGGATACCCCTTTAAAAGACTCACCATGTTGCCATCACATGCTTCAGCACAGAAGTAGGATGAGGATGTTCTTGTTGTTGTTATATAAAAACACATTTGTTTCTTGTAGTCATATACGGGACTGGACTGGACTTTTGGTAATTTTTGCTACACTTTATATGGCAGGAGGGAGCCCAGCCCACACCGCGTGTCAGCGCTGCAGTCAGTCATGTTCTGCTGCTAGTTGTTGTTCAGTAGCAACACACACAGACGGGTGTACAAACTGAGCGCTGCGTGCACTGGTAATGCCAACTGACGGGATATAAGCGACGTGTGTGCGGGCGACGGACTCTCTACTATCTCCAGCAGCAACACTCAAGCTTCCGCAGCCGTATTGGCAGTTGGAGTGGATGGGATATATGAAAACAAACATCCTGAGCAGACCCCGCTCGCCTCGGAAAGGAGTGTAACCTTTTCTTACGAGATCAGAGTAGTTGGATCTGTCTCTTCTCTCGTCGATATTTTTGAAGTGGCGAACATTCGTGGCGGGTGTATTTCCTCTAGTTGAGCTGCATCGGTGAACCAGTCGGGCGAGGCGGACTTGCCTTACCCAGCCATTCGGAAAACAAGGTGCCCTGACTGGCTCCTCGTACCATTGGAAAATTAGACGAGATAGTGCCCGCCACGCAGAGCTACGTTACGGTGAGTAGCGGCTTCTCTACGTTATCTTTCCTCGTTAATTCTCTTTTTTGGATTCAGGCAGAGCAGGGGTCGCATATGGCCAGCTTTCCTCCTTTTGTGTATGTTTTTAAAGTCATGCCTGGAGGACGTTGCCGAGGCAGATAATGGCCATGGTGATGAAGGAGATTCCCAGGGAGTGGTACTCTCAGTCGGACTGGCCGTTCAATGTGTGTTATCATATCCCCTCCCTCCCCCAGTCACCTCCAACAACACCACCAGCAGCAGCAACCACAGTGTAATGTCAAAGCGATAATAGTGCTTTGTGTGCTCACTGGACGGGAACAAGGTCAATTATAGGGACACAGTAGCACAGGAGCTCACTAATATTATAATTGGTTGGATTAATGCTCACCTGGACGTCAACCCCCCTGTGTTGGTGTGCGCGCGCTCACGAGGGGTTACAAACTTTAGGGCACATGAGCCATGAGGCATTTCTTGGGGGTTGTATTTCACTCATATTGGGCCTTAAACCGGCTACTTTAGTGGGAGTAAACAAATATGCCACTTCGAACTGAGGGTTGACAGTCAGTGTTGTACCGCTCTGCTCAGGTAAATGAGGAGGCATCATAAATGCCAAAGCAATTACCCCACATCACCGTTTGCCAATTAGGTCATAAAGGCAATGAGCTCACAACGGATGATGCTGTTATGACATCATGGATAAACCCCCCGAGGCGTGGGTTGACAGTGGATGATCTTCAGGACATGCACATTGACAGATGTATGTGAAGGGAAAGTGGATAAGGAAGGGCTTCCTTGAGTGAAGTTGTTCCTGGAGTTTTGTGTACACATTTTATCATGTTACACTAGATTAGACATCCAATCAGGATATACTGGAGTTTCTGTGTGGTGTCATTGTACTTTTTTGTCCAGATTTTAACTGGAATCTGTTTAAACCTCATGATTTTTTAATTCCCTATCCTACGCTTTGAATGTTACCCTTCATTTGAACTTGCTTTGTTGGTTATATAATAGCTATATGTATCGCATGTTAATACTTGCAAATCATGCACTTAAAATATTGAGATAGTGAATCAGCCATATTTAAATATTTGATCAGTACTGGTATTGCGATCTGTAAGTTAAAAGTGGGGTAGGTAAGTTTGAGAGACCGGCTCAAGATACACTTTTTGTTATATTCCATGGAATGCTCTTAACATCCCGATAGCACTGAATATCTTAAGTGCATTAAAAATCCATAAAAAAGCTTTTCATCTGTGGAAGCCGTAGTACTGTAAAAAGCACGGCCAATCATTTTAGCCGGCCCTGATTCAACATGTCGAATCGGTGGGCAGTCGGCCAAAGGCTGTCGGCAAAAGAAATCACTCTGATTGGCTGTTCAGTTAGCAAATCAGTGCGTGAGAAGCGAAACGGAAGTGAGGGACCCAACAAACTAGGCTTGTTTGAGACCATGGATGTATAATAAGAACTGGATACAGCGTGGGAGGCGGGGCCTCATTCATTCCTATGAGAGTTGCTCATTGGCGCATGATGATAAAATGGCTCAACTTTTGAGAGAGCGAAACGTCACAGACTACCCGGCATGCCTGAGAAGTACCCGTATGTGCGCTCATAGCACATGCGCAACTTCAACCAAAATGCTCATTCACATCAAGCACGTCAATTTGCGTACACGTAACAGCACCGCACGTTCATGACAGCATGGTAATGGCTTGTTTTTATGATGGATTTGATATTAACGAGGCGGCAGTTAGCAGCTAGCGGCTAGCTAGTAATTATTCTAATGTGCACATCAATCGTTATGTACTTATATTACGCTGTAACAGGATCTAGTGATATCCAAGCAACAGAGCTTCATTTAGCATGAAATAATGATTGCACTTATGTATATATATACAGTGCAATAAGCTTCTTAGTGCAATAAGAAGCTACAGGGACGTTAATCTAACGTCGGTTATATTAACTTTATTTAATACAACATTTACGGTACAAGATTTAATCATACAGCCCATGTAGTATAATATTTTACAAATGATGAATTACAGCAAACATGTGCAATATATCCATTATTACAGCTCCGTGGGATGGCAGTGAGACGATATGGGTCCGTTGTTATTGTGCATCCATGGGTAAAGATAAACGCATGTAGTGCTGAACCTGCTGAACACGTAACATGAACGTGCCGGGCGGCGCGGTCCCGTGGGTTGGATGTCACGTTCTAATGCAAGTTATATTCTCAGATTATGTTATTGCACATTTTTCTAACTTGAGGAACGAATGTTTTTAATAAGGCTATACAAAGCGTTCATACGTGGGTAGTTATTATTTGTTTAAAAACATTATCCAAACGACGTAGTCGCCACTCATTTCCAATGTAAGCACTGGTGAAAAAGTGTTTCGGGGACCAGCAACCTAAGGATAAGTGTAGTACCGCCGTTTGGCCACGAAAGATTTTTTCATAGACTCCGGGCCATTCCTGAGTTGGCTTGTTGCGGCACATGACTCGATAAGTGCGAGAATAGAGCGAAACGTCTTGGTTATGTATCACACAGCGCTCGCCTGAAGTACGGTGGACGTCCGGTCGGGCTTGCTTTCTTCTTCTTTATGCGCAACTTTTATCCTTCATCTCTTCCACTTCTTGCTCTCTCGATTTTTTACGGGTTGCAACCTTTGATGTGCATGACCGCATCTCCGGTAATGCTTGTTGATGATGGTTTGCATATTATAAGAGCAGTTGCAGCTATGTGTTGTAATCTGTTAATGTCAGATATGTACTACAGTTAAAACGTTTTGTCCTGTCAGGATTAGAGTCAACTTCTAGTTGTTACTGCAGCATTTCCAGGTACTGGACAAGCGGAAATGCGTAGTTTAGCTTCCACCAGGCGTGCAACAAACAGTAAAGTTGAAAAGTAATGTCACAATCTAACATAAATATGAGAAATTGAATGATGAATAAACAGTTGAGGGGTATGGATATTACCAGCGCTGTGAGGCAGTATGAACAGTGTGTATGAATAGATAATAATAATAATACATTACTTTATAAAGCTTTTTGGGTGTTCAAGGCGCTTACAAGCAGCAGTAAACAAGTTAATATCGACAAAAGTAGAAAGTGCTAGCTTAGGTGAATTAGGCAAAGGGTGAGATGGTTGATTAGGAGTTGAAGGTCAAGGTGAAAAGGTGAGTTTTGATAGGATTTGGTTTTCGCACTTGAATGAATGTGGAGTGTGGGGAGGTCTGGCGTGGCTGGGGAGGGAGTTCCAGAGTGTGGGGCGAGGCTGCTGCGTGGGCCTGTCACCCAGGTCCGTGAGTCTTTGTCCTGATGGTGCAGTAGGTTTAGGTTCAGCAGACTGTGAGGCGACGGGTGGGCGGTGTCGTGTGATGAGGTCACAAGAACGTTAGGGGGGGGAAAGGTTGTGGGTTCTTTGAACGTGGAAGCTAATATTTTAAGTCCATGCTGGGCTGTTTGAACTGGGGAGCAGGTGGAGGTCATGGAGGATTAGGGTTATGTGGTGTCGAAACGTGGGTGGACTGGCAAGCAAGGAGTTATGAATATTGAAACTGGTAATGCAGTGCATGTATGTATAACATACTATGTTTCTGATGGTTAACATTGTGGGAACAATTATGAAAATGTTAATGTATGAGGGGCGACGTATATGAACAAAAATACATAAACAAACTTTTGTGCGCGGCCATATTCTTGAGAGTTTTCATCACTGCACGTGGTAAACTCCAAGAAGTCGCCAGCTCGATGATAGCAGCGAGTCGTTGTCCCATCAAGCATTTCGCTTCAGTGCATCTCTTCGTGGAGGAGGAAATGCGCCGCCTCGCCGCGCCTCGCTCTCAGGCTGCGGGGTTTTTTCCCGCGGAATTTCAACATTCCATTGTAGGCGGGACCTCCAGAGCAAGTCGGCAAAATGATAACACATTCATGCAACGCACTAGCAAGACGTTGATCGGAAATTGCGCAGGTTGCGCAGGTCTTCTTGTCTAATAAACAGGTCCTGACTATTAACGTGGGGTAGGTAAGTTTCAGAAACCGGCTCGGTGCCGACTAAAATGTGGAAAGTACCACAGCCAAAACATCCGCCCCTTCCTTCAGACTTCCTTACAGGAGCACCTCCTCCGCTGAGAGGCAGGCTGCGGGCGCGGGTAACGTGGGGGTACAGTATCAGGCAAAGCTACACTCTTGGTTACAATACTACAAGCCAAGCAACTCCGTATTGACCTGGTTTGATTCTCCTAGTTTCCACTTTCTTTTTGTTCTTAATTTGCTTCGTTACAGTTTTTTTTTTGCGACTGGTGACAGTTGAGCTAACTCTGCTCAGGTTGAAAGTGTGGCCGCTGCTGTTGGGCTGCGAGTGCATTGACAGTATGCTGCAGGAGTGACGCCCGGAGAGGAGACCTGCCATGACGGGCAGGATACATTGTGCGGTGCCGAGATGGGAGGCTGACAGGGACAGGGTGGCAATCCTATTCTTCGTTTAGCGGCCGGCTTAGTTTTTACGTTTAATGTTCCACAGATGAATTTTTTAATGGATTTTTTTGTCAAAGCATAGTATTCATTGATCTCTATCGGACTAGATCTATAAGAGCGATTCATGGATACTCTCACACACAACCAGTGTATTCTCGACGAATCCCAGAGTCTTCTGAACCTTACACCTCCCACTTTAGAAGCCAATATAGAATTTCATTATAGCTCCGCTCTGAACACGAGAGTTACAGGGAATGCCGATGGCTTCTGTTGTGAGTGAAATTGAACGGCAAATGCTATTTGTTGTTTGTTGTATATCACGCCAGTCTTTCTATCTAACTATACTCTCCAAAGGTTCTATCATGCGTCCCGGATCTTCCGGACTATGTCTGTACTAAGCCATACGCGTTTGTATCGTGCTCTTCCAAAGACTCGGCTGAGTCTTTGCGGGATGTGGTATCCCCGTGCCGATCACACCGCAAAATGGCCAAGAATCGCAGAGATGCCGGTCGCGTACTGATTACCTCATTTCACACAATACGCACTCCGGTTCAAGCTCTTGCTCAGAGTCTCTATA